CACTCACTCACTCACTCACTCACTCACTCACTCACTCACTCACTCACTCACCACCGCCACCTTCACCACAATCCCCACCTTCATCACCAACATCACCTCTCTGGACCCCAATGCGTCTAGATCTCTAGATTTTCTGCTTGTAGACCTCACACACACTGTTTGGGGTCTCTTGCCGGGATAATTATTATTTGGCAAACCATCAGAGATAGCCTAAGTGGCTTACATAACAGTAGTTTGCTCCACTGCAGCCATGGCGGCTGAGTCGAAAAGCTGCACTGATACAACACGCACACGGAAAAAATGCAAGAGCAAGCTTGCCAAGAGCAAGCTTGCCGCACTTTTTACACAGACGGAAGAAGGTAGAGTTGCCGCAGGAATAGCTGTGTGAAAAGCTACTCGGGAAGTGGCTAGGAGCTACAGAGACACAAATATGTTAGAATTTGTGTGTGCAAGCACTTGAAACGAAAGACGCACAACTGTTCCACTCCTTTGACTGTGCAAGCAGCCAACATCTTACATGCTAAATATGCCACCAGGCAACAAAAAGAAGTCGACATACAGGCTGTGATTTCAATAGGGAGACCCCCTGGCCAGGCCCTGTCCCGATGGTCCTTGGTCTATTTCCCTTCTTCCATGGGGGTCTTTCAGTCTCCCCAATTTAATAGACGCCCGGATCCAGTCCCTCCCCGCGCAATGCCACGACCAGCCTTCCGACTTAGACCCAGCAGGCATCAGCTCCTGGCATGCGGGCATGGCTGTGGGTTGTTCGAGCTCTAGCGCGTGACTTTCCGTGGGAAAGAACCAACAATGACCCGTTTGGGAATATGAGCAGTTGTTTTGTCTGTTTAAGAAATAATCATGTTGTAGATCATGCGTGACAACGCAGCCTTGCACAAATATGCTCATTGTAGTTTATCATTGGTATGACAACAAGTTCATGACATACTTATTGTGTTTTATTGTATCTTATTGTAGTGATGACATATCCCATCCACCCCTCTACTCCCAACCCAAATTGAAATGAAATCACATCAACATACATGTGTGTATGCATAAATATAGATCGACATGGTCATTTGATGACAACGTTGTGAAGCTTGCAAACCTATTAACCTATTATGAGAGCGATGACACTGTCAAGAGCATGCTACGCTACTTATGACACAGTTGAGCAGCCTATTATGACAGTTTTATGATAAGAATTATGAAACCAATGATATCGACTTGAAATCAATCCAATGAACAGATCCAGGGCCACAAAGAAATTCCAAAGCATCTACTTAGAACCACTGGAAAACATCGCACTGAACGTAAATGATCTTAGTCTGTCCATCACAACGCTGGACTTTGAGTGCTTATAAAAGCTACCCAAATGTAAGCAGTTTGACACCCATAAGTGTCCACCACCAACGACCAAGAACACCTATTCAACTAGCGCAGGTATTGCGTGGTTTTGGGGCTATTCAATGCTTCTTCATCTTGACTATGGCTGGATGTCTCTCTTCATCTTCCCTCATCCCCCACTCTGCACAGTGCAAGTTCGCCTCTTCTTGTGACTCCTGGATGTCTCGCCAGCCCGGAGGCTCGAACGACCGTCTCTGACGAGGGTAGAGTAACATACCTTGCAGGAGTTGTTCAGGCGCATGTACTGAGTGCGAGTGAAGAACAAAGAACAATCGATAGGCCGGCATAAAAATCGAGATGAGGACATCTTCCGATCTGGATGAGCCTGAACCAGAAGCCTGTTCCCGCTGTTGATGATCAACCAAGGATTCGTCCAGCAACTGATGAGATACTGAAATTAGAGTACCCAAGCTTTCTTCTCCCCTTGCTGAATATGCAAATCATTAGGGAGACCTCCCAAAGACCCCTGGAAGAAGGAACATAGACCAGAAGCCATTGATTATCATTGATGAGGTGTCTTCGTATTAAAATACACACCATACTAGTATGGATGGCCAGTGATGATGGGTCATGGAATTCTCATGCCTCCGCCCATCCCCGATGCCCGCCAGTCCCGCAAGAAGAGCTGCCTCAGCAAACGAGACTCGGTCGAGAAGAGCGGACGCTGTAATCGGAGGAAAGGAACGACAACAAACAAGATTGGCGCTCTGATGTATCCAAATACACCGAAACATTGTTTTTCTTAGCACCAGGTCTCAAGACAAAACTGCTTGGGTTTCAAGTATTTTATAATATCAGGAAGCGTGCAAGCTGGAGTGTCTGTCGAGAGAGTAGAAGCTCGGCCTCCCACCCAAGCTGGAGGGCCCAAGCTTGCCAGAAACAATTTAATGCAGCTTCTTGTTACTATAGTAGAAATGCCACTTGTTCCTAGTAGCTTCTTGCTACTAGTAGTGCCAGGAGCTACGAACTCGTAGCTTCTTGTTCCTAGCTTACAACCTCTTCCAAGTTCCGTGATCGAATTCGCAGTTGCACCGCTTCGATCCGAGGGTTTTGACCTGTTTTTTCGACCAGTTCGACCAGTTTCGACAGCGGTGATTCAAGGGTTCAGTCACAAAGTGCTCGAACAGATCGGTGGCGATGTCAGTGATTTCCCAAAAGCAGATTGGTGGATCAGCCGTATACTGCAAACACAACTGAATCAGAACAAGCAGGTCCCCTTTTTTGGCACTCTTGAGCCATCGATCTCGGACTAGATCGGCCCGAGCAGTGGATGTTAAGGTGTTGAGGGATCTTCCGTTCATGTGCGTTTTCATGGTCTATACATGTCTATAACAAACAAACCCTTACTTCACTAATTATAAGGAGTTGACACTACAACACCAGGTCAACCATGCTTAAAACGTGCTAACAAATCGAGTTGACACTACAAGACCAGGTCAACCATGCCTAAAAACGTCCAAACAAGTAGGGTTATGTATGCCAAGTAGTAGGACGTCTACTGGGATCACTCTACTGGGACGTCTAGGACGTCGAAGCCTCGCTCGGTACCCGACAAGGCCCTCTGGCGGTGGACGCCTGGCGCCGGAACCGCTCCGATTCAAAGAGATCGAAAGCGACAACGGGTGACCATGCCGGGTGACCATGCCGGACATGGCTCTACACATTGAAAGATATCTGGTTCTCTAATTATGTTGGTTTGAAAGGAAAACGCTCTTTTGGGGAAACAACCAGGAAAAAACCTGGAACAAATCACGCGGCTGCAACTGTTGGTCTTAATGAGTCTCCGAGCTCTTTTCACTCGACTCACCGTCTCACACCATCTCAACGGTATGTATGATAGAGACTCCTATAATACGTGAACTAATAAGGGCATCCTGAACGGTGTCTTCTTCCAATTCCAACGGTCATCCTTCACGGTCCTGACACCTTTGACACCTTTGGCCACGGCTCGCGCCTCGGAGCTTGCCCCGGCTCTTGCTGCGGACCTCGGGAAGGTTGGATGGCTCTGGAACTGGGCTATGGCCCTGGGCTATGCCATTCCGAGGCCCTGCGTCAAGCCATGTTGTTCCAAAAAGGAAGCCACTTGAACCAAGGAAATCGACCTCATTCGGCCACTTCACGAACACGTGAGTTCTTGTCGCGGTAAGGGGTGCCACGCCTCGTAGGCGGACGTCTCGGGTTTGGGGTCGCCGTCTAAGACCCAGCACTGAAGTTTAAAGCTCTCAAACACCCTTGCCGGCCCTAGCCGAGACCTAGGAATGTTCATCTAGATCTAAATATATCATATACTGCTCAGCTTTCGCCGAGCACTCACGACCGAGATATATATATATACTATACTATATATATATATATACCATACCAAAAGTGATTCTGAGCTTCAATTAGATCCACCCGCTGTGCGGAGCCGAACTGAGGGTGGCAGCGGCCCATCCGGCGAACCCGCCAAGGACGCAACAGTGGTGTTTTTTTCCCATCCGGGCGACTTCACCATATCCTCAGGTTCGGTGGTA